TAAACGACAAACAAAGCATACAAGAAATACAAGCAATAAGACTACTGAAACAACAAAAGAAATCAATTTTAATGGATTATAGACATTTTAAAAAATTCATTGCAACTTGAATAGGTTAAAATGGAGCTCGGATTATTTAGTTATGAATTTTACAATACGAGTTGTGTAATTACTAATATGAAAAAACATTAGTCATTTATTACATATTAATGCCCATAGATAAATAGATCAACTGAATTATATCACTAGTAAGCAAGCCTCACGAATTAGTGACTCAATAAGCAAATACTTCGTGACACAGGACCACTCAAACGGTCAACCGAACCGGTGAATGGAACCGGCAGCTCAGAACGACTCGGGACAACCGAACGAACTAAAGCTTCGGCAATACTACGTGCGAACAAACGGTTAGCGGCTTAGCGAATGGCTGCGGGATGACCGGTAGAATTAACACAGTTTGCGTCAATGACCCGATACGACAAATGATAGGCCGGTAGCGACTTGGGTTTACGGCTGCGGCAAGGAAACTTGGCTACCGTGCGACGAACAATGACTAGGCAGTGACAGCGGCGCGGGTGTGGCAACGGCGACTGCGAGGCAGCAACAGCAGTGGCTCGGCTGCAGCGGCGGCGACTGCGAGGTAGCGGCGGTGCGGTAGCGGCGGCTAGCGCGACAATGGCTGGGGCGGCTCGGCACGGCGGCAAAGGTAGGGCTTGGCGACGGTGATGCGATTATGGTTACAACAACAACGCTAAGAAAATCAACACCTAAACCAAGAAATCACGGATAAGTTCCTCACCAAACCAAGACGATCGGCGAGGAGGAGACGGGGACGACGGTCCGGCAGCAACAGATGGAGATGATGGTGGCGCTAGATCAAAGCTAGATTAAACCAGTTAGACGGATCAAGGGGAAACTACGGCAGCGACCTTGCCGAGAGAATTGGAGGGGAGCTCACCGGCGATGCGAAGGTGTCGACGGCGACAGCGATGCATGGCGGCGGCGGCTAGCAGGCAGCGCACAGGAGGTGGCAACGGTGGCGCAGGTGGTGGTGGCGGCTAGGGTTTGCTACACAAATAAAATTGTGAAGATAAACAGGGGGTGTGATAGCTTATATAGGGGAGGGTTAAGAGGGAGGTGGGGCCGGCTAGGAGGTGGCAAAGGGGAAGGAGAGGGAGGCCGACTCGGGTTAGGGGTGAGGGGAGGCGCGCACGCAGCAAGGGAGAGGCGGCGACGGCCGAGAGGGAGAGGAGGTGGGGTTAGGGTAGGATTAGGATGGGAATTTCCAAAATAGGAAAGGAATAGCGATGCCGTCTTAGGAAAGGAGCGGAAACAGAACCGAAAACAAAATAGGATTCAGTTTGTTATGCAAAACAAAACCGCGAATGGAGAAAGGGGAATGAACCGGGCACGGTTCATGACCAAAGATGGCCAAAGAGGGAAAAATATTAATTCAAGTCCTAGCAAATTAAATTAACTTTTGTGATTTCCTTTGCTCTGAATATTCCACTATACATCCAGTTAATGACTTAAAACAAAGAATTCGAAAAAAAATTCTCCCTAACAATTTCGATTATTGAACACATTGTTATTCGGGGTTTTCTCCTGGTTAACAAAGTATTTTCTATAGATGATTTAGCAATGATTTAGCAACTACGGGAAGGGGAAAACTCCGTGTGTGACACCTTTGTCCAACCATGTCTTCCAAACATAAATATCACCATATCCGACTATACCAACCCATTTAACCTAAGTTTGATGCTAACATAGACTGACTAACACATCAAGGGATCGACCTATAACCGTGGATACGACTATTCGATTAGCCTTATTTGATAGGTGTACAACTTTACCTGCATGAAATGAACAAGGATTAATTGCTTCACATGCACACAAGAGCGACCTACAAGTGATGCAAGCTCATAACATGTCATTTCCTAGTCACACCCCAACCACCTAAACCCAGTGTTGTGGAAAACGGTCGTACTGACCGATTAGTTGGCTTTATATATGTTAATGGTAGTAAAAAACCATTTGGTTAACGTGATACGGTGTACATTTATCGTTCATGAACGTTAAAACTATGTTTTTAGCGATTAGTTGGTCATTTTCCATTTAATCACCCGAATAATCGTCTGTACGTTGTATTTGATGATGATTTAGAATAGTTTTTTTACTTAATTTAGAAATGTTTTCGATTTGTAACATATATTTTAATATGTTACTTACTAAAGCAAGCCGAATGGAGATGTACACCGACTCAACCAAGCACCCCAACGAAGTTTGGATGTATCGATGTCTTGGCAAACACTTGTTGTACGGCTGCAATCAAATCTGTGGAGCTCTAGGTAGGCTTGAATATGTAGCAAAGGAATAGCAAATGCTCAAATCAGATAACGTAAAGTTGAATAATTGTTCAAATGATACCACAAGATAGCACCATAAACAAATCAAGCACACTCTGATATATGAAAGCAAACTCAAAGATACAACTGATTTTTCTCTTTTCCTTCTTTCTTCTTTCTTTTTTTCTTTCTTTTATTTTTTTAGCACCTTTCTACCTTTTTTCGTTCTTTTTTTTTGTTTTTTTTTACCAAAAATGGACTCAAGGACCTCAATGTAAGGTTGTAGAGACTCAAACGTAAATATAAAAATTATAGGGACTCAAATGCAAAAGTGCAAACCTAAAAATTAAAGTTATACAAAAATGGAATGTTGAATTTATACCGGTTCCATTTTTGCAAACAGATCCCCAATCAGACACTCCAAAAATTTTCACCAAAAACTTTCCCCTTCCTCCTTCCTGACATATGGAAACCGAATCCAATCTAAAAAATCTCTCCCCCTTCTTGCTAGCGCACAGCAAAAAGAAGCACACGGCAGAATCTGCAACCCTAGATGTAATTCAAAAACTCTAAAACCGACCGAGAGAAACTTCTGAAAATTAGAAAAATATAACCCTGGCGGAAAGACGATTCTGTTTTTGTAGGTCGCGATGACAACAAACACACGGCGACGACGACGACAGTGGTAGTAGACGTCACAAGAACTCAAAACTCTATATGTACTACACACTAAGACCAGCAACTTGACACGACGATGCAACACAAAACTCAACAAAGCAAAAACCAAATAGAACAATGCAATGGCACAATATGGCTAGGTAATGTATGAAGTTTTTTATGGCTATTTTCTGGTTATGGGTAGATAAAAAGATTCATCGAGCAACGAAAGCTCTGATACCACTTGATAAACCCTAAGTTCCATTCGAGACACTCAAGGCTAGGATTGGCCTGATCTTTCGGTGAGTTGGGATAAATACGATTTGGAAGAAACATTGACGATCCGACTACAACCGTATGAGAAGTTGTTGTGTTGCACCTTAGCAATCAATACACCTCTCCGTGGTTTGTTGATCTTGTCGATGCAAACCAACCTTATTCCTGCAAGCAAATCGAATAAACAAGCAAAAACAAGATAAAAGCAATAATTGCAAATTGCAAATAGGAATTGAGTACACATGGTAAGTTGGGGCTCTGAAGAACAAGCAGAGGGTCGGTCTAGCACATGCGCTGCAAGCAAGTAGCAATGGCTAAACTTTAATCTAAACAAAACCCAAGAAACCCTAAAGTGGGAACCTAACTATTTAAGGAGGTGGGAGGACGACCTAGGGGTCCCTGGGTCGTGCTCCACCTGGTTGGGGCACACCCCACATGGGTCCCATATCGGTCGGGGTCCCAGACGAAGTTATAAGCACATAGGCCCATTACAAGTGACGCAGCACCTTGTCTGGGATTGTGTCCAAAAGAAGCGGAATTCGAAGATGAGGCTGGATTTGTTGGAACGAAGACTCCGAGAGCTTTCCATCAAGTACTCACAAGCCGAAAACGGAGGTCGTGCGCAAATTCGGCGGTCGTTTGATGTCAGTAGTGTAGCAGGAGGTCGTTTGGGTCATTTTTGAGGATCCACTGATCTCTAGGTAGCTGGTACGGCTGCGGGGGAGGCGCCTCACTATCGCTCCTCTGGCCGGTGGTCTCGCTAGAAGCCGAGGTCAGAGCGGCGCAGATGCCGGCCGTGGTGTCGGTGGTCAGCGCGCGGTTGTGGGTGGCGTTTCGGAGGAGAGCGGTGGAGCGCTGTGTGAGCAAAGGGCACGGCGTCAATTGTCCAAGGAGGTGGCGTGGGCAGCGGCCATGACCGGCCGCCCCAAGCCGGTGCATGCTGTGACCCCTTCGCCAGTATCGCCGATCCACTCAAAGTTTTGGGCAGCGCCGGACGACGATGACTCGGAGGATGATGATGAGGCACCGACACCGCCCCCGTTCACAGGCTCATCGGCGACATCTTCTCCGTCGACGGAGGAATTCGTCAACGAGGCAAGCGCAGCGGGATTCTCACGTGCATAGCTCGTCATGGCGGAGCAGCAACTCCAAGCAGGTAAGAACGGCGACCAACGGTTGCCGGAGGTAATCTTGTCCACGCTGCTACGGCGGAAGCTGGTGGGTCCGCCATGGCGTGGCCCTTTACCAGCGGAACGCGTTTCTCCGCCGAGAACGCTGGGCGACTGCCTGGCGTTGGCATCTCGGTGTCCGCGGCGTAGGCGGCGCGATGGTCGACGGTGCGGCGTTCCTCGTTCATCGTCATCGCCGGAGGCCGGGACGGTTGGTTCAAAATTCGTAATTCCGAAATCGTTGGGCGTTTCAAACGACTCCGATCAATTACTACGGCAGGGTTCACGGCCTGATTTCCCTCCTCTCTGCGGTGCGCACTCGTCGGTCTCTACCGCGATTGCCAGCGCAGGAGGGGAGATACGAAGGCCGGCGCCATCTGCATCTCAGTCGGATCGGATTCGTTTGGGGCCCGGGAAGTGGTTTCGGCCCACCAAAGGATTGACCTCCCTCTTTGCTCGCTCTGGACTCAAACCTAGATCGCGAAAACTGCAGCCGCCATCACGCCCCACTGCGACGATCTCGTACGCTGCGGTCGTACGGAGAGGAAAAGCCATGGCGGCACACGGAGGCGGAGGGTTTGGCGGTCAAGGGGGAGGGAGAGGCTGGGGCTTCGCGCAAGGTTTCCACCCTGGCTTCGACGGCGGCCGCGGCCGTGGCCGTGATCAGCGCGGTCACAACGGTGGCGGATTCGGAGGAGGGTACGGAGGCGGATATGGCGGCGGAGGCTATGGTGGTAACAGTCACGGTGGATACGGAGGCAACCGGAACCGCCGCGGTTGGCAGGGTGGGCGCCGCTTCGCGCCGGCTGCTGGCCACGCGGCCAGTCAGTTCCACGCCGGAGGTGGCGTTCCTGGACACCAGGCCGGTGGCCAGGCGGTGGTCGGCCAACTGCAGCAGCAGGCCGCTGCTGGTCAGTTCCAGCTGGCTGGCTTCCAGACAGCGGGGCTAGCTGACCAACAGCCCGCCCAGGCGCCCTTCCAGGCACCTCTGGCTGGCCAGCAGCCTACCCAGCCGGCTGCGGCTGGCAACCAGACCAGGGAGGCTGGGGCTGTGCTCTTCCAGCAGGTCAGCCAAAGCCAGAAGGCCCAGGTGGCTGCACCGGCCAACGGTGGCGGCCTCGGTACGTCTCAGGCCGGGACGTCGGCGCTGCTGGCCTCCAGCCAAGCAGCACCGGCGGCTGCTCCAGCTGGCTCCACAAGAGGGGCCATCATTGGAGGATCGGCACAGGATCCCGCGGCGACACATCTGGAAGGCTTCATGGCAACCAAGCCCGAACCTGCACAAGCCGGAAAGCAGAAGAGCAAGGGTAAACCCTACTGTTTCTGCTGCTATACAAAGGGGCACACTATAGATGATTGCACTGTCTTGCTTTGCTGTGATTTGTGCTTTGAAAATCATGTTCTAAAGAATTGCCCAAATGTGAAGAAAACAAATGCGATTGCGGCTCCATGTGGTTATGCAGTAGAGGGCATGGGCTTTTACTATATCCCTATGAATGACAACCCAAAGAGTAATGTGGAGGAGCACACGGTCTTGGTACGTGTCTTAGACGGTTCCTTTACTGTTGATCAACTGACAGTGGAACTTGATAGACTACTGCCAGCTAAAATCACTTGGGAGATTGGTTTGAAGGGGTCTGATGCCTTCATCATTACTAATTTTCCATCCGAGCTCCGAGAATATGCGGTGAATTAGGGTCCAATGGACACCAAGACAATTAAGGGAAAGATCCGCTTCGAGAAAGGTGTCGAGAATGATGTGAACAGATATGAGATTGACAAAGTTTGGGTTCAGTTTCGGGGTCTGCCTAGCGAGCTCAGAGAATTTCCTATCATATGGGCTATAGGGTCCATATTAGGGGTCTCTAAAGCGGTGGATATGCGCTTTACCAAGACGTTTGGCAGGTCCAGACTGAAGGTGGCTGTTCTAGACCCGAACAGGATCCCAGATTACGTTGATGTGGTCATTGGTGACTTCGTTTATGAGCTGCAGTTCCGCATGGAGATAGATATGCCTGTTGGAGAGCCTTCAGTCATTGACATGGACTCTACCACAGACAATGATGGTGACAATGATGGGAAAGGCGAGGACCCAATGGAGGAGGATGCCAACAAAAATAATGGCACCCCTGATGACTTACCAAAGGATGCTGCCCCTGAAAATGCCCCTGCAGACCAGCTACCCAAGCATGGCGCGGGTGCTGAGACAGGCAAGCTGAAGGAGAAAACAGTGGCTAAGTCTGATCCGGGAAAAAATAAAAGGCCCGTGGCTGTACTATCTCAGGGGATCTCTCTGGAGGGTTCCATTCAGTGGCAGGCAAACATGTTGGGTAACCATGGCATTCAGTGGCAGGCAAACATGTTGGGTAACCATGGCTCTTCTAGCAAACCGGTGGTGCACAAGGGAGAGACTGTATCTCCTCTGAGGTCCAGCAAGCGCAATGTGTCCTCCCTAGAGCAGGACTCCATGGAAAAGGCCACCAAACTGAAAGCTCGCAAAAACTTGGATTCCACTGCTGCAAAAGGTAACAAACCCCTCCCCTCCTCTTTTCATAATTTAGATGATTCTGTTATACTGGCTACAACTGACTCTTTAGGAATTAATTTGGGGGACGATGTTAGTTCGGTTCTAGATTCTGTACATTCTTTAAAACAAATTGAGTTACAAAGATTTAACGACTTTTGCTCATCTAGTAAAGAGGAGAAACGTAGCTGCGAGGAAAACTCATCAGTTTGTTCGGAGGATAATGTTGATATTGATGCTTTAAATACTATCTGTTCGGAAATTGCGGAAAGCCTTGGTGATGGGGGCTGTGACCCGCTGTGTCTACATACCCCCTTATCACAAATAAAGAGGAGGCAGCCTAAGGGTAAGCAGAATAAAAATAAAAGCGAACGTAGTAAAACATGAAGGGTATTTTTTGGAATTGTAATGGGTTTGCAGACCCGAAAAAATATAAATTTTTGTCTGATCTAACTAAGGAGCAAAATCTAGACTTTATTGCTTTATCAGAGACGGGCAGAGCCTCTTTTCCTCAGTCAACATTAAATAATATTTGTGCTGGCAGAGATTTCATCTGGCACTGCATGGCCCCTAGGGGGCGCTCTGGTGGTATGATTCTAGGTGTTAATTTGCTGTTTCTTGACATTGGAGAAATTGAGGAAGGAGATTTTTTCATTCGCTTTAAATTAAGACAGAGAGCAGATGATTTTAAATTTAATTTGATTTCTGTATATGGTCCAGCACAGTCTGATTTAAAAGGTCATTTTCTCTCCGAATTAGTACGAGTTTGCTCTAAAGAAACCATACCTACAGTTGTAGGTGGTGTCTTTAATATACTTCGTAACCCACAGGAGAAAAATAATGATAACTTTAACGATAGATGGCCATTTCTGTTCAATGCAGTAATTGACACTTTGAATCTTAGAGAATTGGAGTCATCAGGGAGATCTTTTACTTGGGCAAATCACTTACAAAATCAAACTTTTGAGAAGCTTGACAGAATTCTAGTTTCTACGGAGTTTGAGACAAAATTCCCACTCTCTACTGTTAGCATCCTCACTAGGGAAATTTCAGATCATACACCTTTGCTATACAATTCAGGCGGTGCGTCCGCAGCTTACCAACCTCAATTTAAATTTGAATTGGGCTGGTTGCGGAGGGACGGTTTCAGTGATATTGTAAAGGAGGTGTGGCAAGGGGTGTCCATTGAGGGTACACCTTTAGAGAGATGGCAGAGGAAAATTAGACGATTACGCCAATTTCTTCGAGGTTGGGCGAAAAATATTACTGGTGCTTACAAAAAAGAAAAGAAAGAGTTATTGGATAAATTAGATACACTTGTTAAGAAAGCTGAACATACTATACTCAATGAGTTTGAATTAAATGTTAAGCATGTTCTAAATGATAGACTGGCTGAGTTATTGAGGGAGGAAGAAATTAAATGGTACCAACGTGCTAAGGTCAAGCACCTATTGGAAGGAGATGCTAACACAAAGTACTATCATCTTCTGGCAAATGGCCGTCACAGGAAAACTCGTATTTTCCAATTGCAGGACGGGAACGAGGTCATTACTGGTGATGCTCAACTTAAGGAGCACATCACCAAGTACTTTAAGACCCTGTTCGGCCCATCACAGACTTCATCTATTTTTTTAGATGAGTCTCAGGTCGACGACATACGACAAGTCTCTGCAGAAGAAAATGAGTCTTTAACGGCAGATTTTACAGAAGAAGAGATAAAATGTGCTATATTCCAAATGAAACATAATACTGCACCTGGTCCGGATGGTTTCCCACCAGAGTTTTATCAGGCCTTCTGGACAATTATAAAGGACGACCTGTTAGCTCTGTTTTCGGATTTCCAGCAGGGATCGTTGCCTCTTAATAGCCTAAACTTTGGTACGATTATTCTACTGCCCAAGCAGAAGGATGTTAGGACTATTCAGCAATACAGACCAATCTGTCTCCTGAACGTCTCCTTTAAAATCTTTACCAAAGTGGCTACTAACAGGCTTACATCAGTAGCTCAGAAAGTGATTAAACCTACTCAAACGGCTTTTTTACCGGGTAGAAATATAATGGAGGGGGCCATTATTCTTCATGAAACTTTACATGAACTCCACACAAAGAAGCAAGATGGGGTCATTTTTAAGATAGATTTTGAAAAAGCATATGACAAAGTTAGATGGTCTTTTCTCCAACAAACTCTCAGAATGAAAGGGTTTTCACATAAATGGTGCAATTGGGTGGAGAAGTTTACTCAAGGGGGTAATGTCAGTATAAAGGTGAATGATCAAGTTGGTAATTATTTCCAATCCAAAAAGGGCTTGAGGCAGGAGGATCCGATGTCGCCAGTACTATTTAATATAGTTGTCGACATGTTAGCGATTCTCATTGCTAGAGCCAAAAACGCTGACCGCGTAGAGGGTGTTATCCCACACCTGATTCAGGATGGCCTGTCGATACTCCAATATGCGGATGATACGGTAATTTTCATGAGCCATGATGTCGCCAAAGCGATTAATATGAAGTTAATTCTTACAACCTTTGAACAACTATCAGGCCTCAAGATAAATTTCCATAAGAGCGAAATCTTTTGTTTTGGTAGAGCAAAAGAGAACGAAGCCTTTTATTTGCAGCTATTTGGGTGTAAGATTGGGTCATTTCCGTTTAGATACCTTGGTCTTCCCATGCATACCAGAAAACTTAACAATAAAGATTGGAAAGAAATCGAAAATAGGATCGAAAAGAAGTTGGGGGGTTGGAAAGGAAAATTACTAACGGCCGGAGGGAGACTCGTACTAATTAACTCTGTGCTTTCCAGCTTACCGATGTTTATGCTGTCATTCTTCGAAATTCCAAAAGGTGTGCTAGAAAAAATTGACTGCTATAGATCAAGGTTCTATTGGCAGAATGATCAGCACAAGAAAAAATACAGACTAGCTAAATGGACAGTCATGTGCCAACCAAAGATACAAGGGGGGCTAGGTATCCCCAATTTAGAGATTCAAAATAAATGCTTACTGAGCAAATGGCTTTTCAAACTGTTAAATGAGGACGGACTTTGGCAGGAACTGATTAGGAACAAATACTTGAAGGAAAAGCCCCTAGGTTGTTGCCAGAAAAGGGCTACGGATTCACACTTCTGGAAAGGTTTAATGAGCATAAAAGACACTTTCCTGGGCTTGGGATCGTTCAAAATCAAAGATGGATCGCAAACGAGATTTTGGTGCGATACGTGGCTGGGTAATAAACCTTTAAAGGACAGATTTCCATCATTGTTTAATATTGTTAGAAGGAAAAATGACTCTGTGGCCAAAGTACTTAGTTCGTCCCCTCTGAATATTTCGTTTAGGCGGAATTTGGTGGGAGCGAATCTTAGTAGATGGAATAGAGTGCTTGCTTCCATACAGGAAGTATTATTACAGGATGGGGGTGACTCGTTTGTGTGGTCTTTGCAGGCCTCAGGAAATTTTACTGTCAAATCGATGTATGCTGCACTAATCAGTAATGGTATTAGAGTTTCACAGGATATTTGGCAAATTAAGGTCCCTTCAAAAATAAAAATTTTTTTGTGGTACTTAAAGAAAGGTGTCATTCTTACTAAAGATAATTTAGCTAGGAGGAATTGGCATGGTGATTTAAAATGCGCTTTCTGTCATCAGCCTGAGTCAATTCAACACCTGTTTTTTGATTGCTATATTGCCAAGTTCTTGTGGCGAGCGGTTCATATTTTGTTTGGTATAAGTACCCCATCAAACTTAGTTGAGTTATTCCAACAGTGGTCTAAGGGGGGTAATAAAAAACAAAATACTTTACTGTTAACTGCAGCAGCAGCGCTTTTCTGGACAGTTTGGTTAACAAGAAACGAGTTAGTGTTTGACAATTACGGACCGAAATCTTTTTTGCAGGTACTATTCAGGGGTACGCATTGGTTACGCCAATGGGCGAAGCTGCAACGGCATGAGGATCTGCGTTCACAGTTGATCGCGGCATCGCAACATCTTGAGTCATCAGCTTTGCAATTTTTTAGTTCCAATGGATGGTTATCAGCTAGACACATCGGTCTTTAGTCGTCTGAACTTTTATCTCGGTTTTGTTTCCAAGTGTTACTCTGTAAGAACGTTTGTTATAATTGGCATGAGTCTATCTTTTGATAGATGAAGCCGGGTTTAAAATATCCATTATCTAAAAAAAAGGTGGCCGAATTGGATTCCAGCGCTTGGAGGACTTGATCATCCATGATATGAGTTATGGTTGTATCCATAGTAGTCATGGTCACATCACTTGGGGAGGCTAGTGAGCCAGACTATCACGCCCAGAAATTCACTAGTAATTTTCGAACTAATTTGTGCATGAAACCCTCGTCTAGGAATCAGCCGAGGTACACAAACTGACAATTCAATATACAGA